TTGAAGGCAGGCGGGGTTTCGTCATCCCTCCCCGAGGAAAGGAGAAAGGAGGACGCTTGCCAACAAACTGTGTGCCTCTCCCTGCTACAGATCTCACCGTGCCGGAGCGCAGCCGAGATGCTCAAGATGTCAGGCGCTGTGCTGCTGGAGGGGAGGGTGAAGGAGGGGTTAAACGGGAAGCGCGCATCCCGGGTACCAGCGCTGTGGCTGGAGGGGAGGGGAGAGCAGGGCACGGAGGGCGACGTGCAGCACGGCCCGGCAGCCCCGGCCCGGGCGGGCTGCCTCGGTACCGCAGGGGTGGCAGCTGGGAGTTTATGGACTGAAAATAGCAATCCTTAGAGGAAAGAAACCAGCCGTGGGGAACCCTCCATCTGTTAGGTTTACATATGCCCAACGTGGATGTAACAGAGGTTTATTTTTGTAGTGAAGAGATCACACGTAAGAGCGATGCTTTTAGGGTTGGGGTTGTTCTTATTGCTCTTTGGTTGGTTGTTGGTTGGTTTAATCGATCTTGTTTAAAAGACACTTCTCTATTGACCTCAGTTCTGTAAGCAGATCCTGATTTTTTATTTGTTTTAAAATGCAAGCTGGTTGTTTCAGAGCAGCTGTTTTTAAAAGGCAGAACTAGTTGGTGTCAAATGAAAGAAGAGAGAACATATTAAATGCATTGCCCCTTAACATAACGTTTCCTAGTACATGATGAGCGTGTTGTGACGCTGGGCAGGAAAGGGTTTTCTAGTTTCAGGTTTCCCTTTTGCCAGGTTATTAAAACTCTTGATGCATAGAAAAGGAGAAATGGGGGCAGAGAGCAGGAATATATTAAAGATTCCAGGTTTTTTCAGTCTTTCCTCTCTGCCATTTTCCTTCATGTATCTTGCCTAGCCATTCTCATGTCAAGCTGAGGGGGGAAAAATCCCAAGGGCTTTTAAAGCTTTGTAGTCCCTCAGTTCAAGGTGGAAAGGGGCAAGTTTGTCCTCTGGCGTATAAAAGAAACAGCCCTGGCCCACATAAACCTGCCTGTTTGCTGGCTGGGTGTCTTCTTCTTTCGTGTGACTTCTGAGCTGAGATTGAGAATTTCTAGCCTCCCTGTTAGGGCTGGCTCCAGCCAGAAACCTCAGCAGTGCAAGGAATGCTCTGAAACACCAGTGCTGTTACAGCTACCTTATGCTACTACATCACAAGAAAAAGCTGTGGGTGAAATGCTATTATTTTCATAGTCTGTATTCTCTGCTCTACCATCTGTCAGCAGTGGGAGTGGATGTGTGCTAAAGATTTCCTGCAGACCAACAGGTGAATCCAAGTCACAAATTTCAAGTCTATGTTGGAAGCCATAATACTGAAGATACTTAGGACAACATGGTAGCTTTTTCCTGGACTTTTGCTTGCTTTCTTTACTAGTCCTGTGTGGAAGGTGCCAATGATCATAATGTGTGTAATGGTAGGTAGCATCAGGTCTGAGACATCTGAGCAGAACTTGGACATACCAGACAAGAGGTGGTGGAAATGCAAATGTACCAACACCAAACCTGACCAGCTCCCTTTTAGATAGCTGGTTTTTAGCTAGGGCTTACAACTTCTAGAGACCTAATAAACTGAATTTTACATTTCCATTTTGAACCCTACTCTAGAGTTTATGTAAAATCTTGTTTGACTACACAGGGATATGACAAGAAAGCCATCACTGACGTACAGCCACTCTCTTTCAAACTGAACTTTACTCCTCCACAAACCTGATTTGGCCTCAAGCATATCACCATAGTAAGTGACATTTGAAATGCAAATCTGTTGATCTGGTCTTCTCTGTACTGCAGTGTGAATTTTACTTCATTCAGGGTCTTGTTTTCACCCACGTTAGAAGTTTGTTTGAAATGTTTATACCCAAGAGAGCTACGGCTCTGAGAGCAGGGAGAGCTTTGTGGTCCAGTGTGCCTGTTTACCTCTCCTGCTGATCCCAGAACAGCTCTTGTTTCCAAGGGATTGCAGAGTTTAAGTGCAGACACCTTCATCCCCATGGCACCGGAGGCTGCTGGTGGAACTAGCACCTACTGTAAAAATGCTCCATTCTCTGATAGGTTTAGGTTGCAGAGCCCAGATTTTCCTCCTTATGACAAATATTTATGTATATAACTGTAAGTCTAATGAAGGTGAGAGAGGTGAACAGTCAAAACACATCTGTTATCCTTACTGCTCCAGAGGCTAGAACAGAAACTGATCTAAGCATTGAAAAATGCGACCGAGCTTGAGCAGATTGGCTTTGGACACTCTTAACTCTTGTTGAAGAGTGGATTGATTTCACTGTTTTTCATGGAGCTATTCATAAAGCACTGTTCAGTCTGAGCCTGATAGAATTGGGCCTTTACTATGTTTTGTAATCAAGCCATTTTTGTAGTGGATGTGATCCCTGTGATTTTTCCTCTTTTTATGTTCAAATAAGTCTTTAATCTGTTAGAGCTGTAGTGGTATATGGATAACCCAGAAACCCTATTCTGGCAGTCATGGCTTTGATCTTTATTTTAATATTTCAGTATCACTAGCATCATCCTCTTAAACTATTTACCCTCTATAAGAATTTATTAGCATCTTTTATATCCCCCTGACAGGAAAAAAGCTAATGAAGTTTATTTATAAATTTGTATCAAAAAAGATATGCCAGCTTGCAGTACAGCCCCTCAGTGAGGAGAGAGATTTGATTCATCTTTTTGTCTCTCTTGTTCTATTGTTTATGCCTTTTCCTTCTGCTTACTGCTCCTTTTAAAAATCGTTTTCTCATTTCTTTTCCTGTACTTTTACATTTTATATTGCCTTCACACATTAATGCCTTTCCAAATAGTTTTCCCTCCTTTTATTTTCTATTTTTTTCCTTCAATAGCTGTCCACCAAGGTCACTTCACTTTCTTCATTTTTCTTCTTTTACCACTGCTGTTTCCCCATGGGGAACCTTTTGATTCCAGTATTCCAGCATTGCTCGTGCTAACTGGCATCAATCCAAGCACACATCCTGTGGTTTGAAGGGTAAGAGAGAAAAAAGGGGAACTTATCTCCACGAGTGCTTATTCCATTACAAAAAGAAGGACAGAGGGTTCACAAGATGCACCTGGACAAATGCCAGCAGCTTGTGTGGCAGCGTAAGGTGAAGAGTCTCAGTGCCTTGTTATAAATGCATGATTATCAGCAGAGGATGCCCTCTACAACCACTGTGGACAGCACAGCTGCAGTGGCTGGTCATCTCTGAATTTTAGGCTGGAGTACCAGCCAGTGGCTGTGTGTTTTGCTACATACAATTACATCACACCTTGGCATTGCTCTTATGGGTAAGAAACAAGACGCTGCACTGCAGTCTCCCCTCTCAGCTTGTTCTCCATCATGTTCTTTACCCAGACCCTTCTTCAAAACATTACTAGCTGCAGCTGATGCTGATGTTGCATGTTCTGTTTGAGGAGTGATGTAGCAGAGCCATGGGAGGGGATGCTTCCTCCGTGGCTTAGAGGAAAAGCTGATGCATGCAGTCTGTGGGGCTGGGCAGTTTTGGAAATGGTAGCTGTGTCCTACCCCTTTCTCTTCTTTCCTTACTTTTGTAGATTTGCATTAGGTACATTACATAATTGTAGTAGTTCTGAAATCAGCTTCACTATGGGTTGAGGTTTTTTGAGTATGTATTCAAGTATCTATTATGTTATTTAGGTTTTTCAAATGTTTGCACATTGATCTGTTCATTAAAGAGTCTTGAAAGCAGAGCTTGGCAGGAGCCCAGAGAAGAGTGCCACAGAAGCATGGCTGCTGATAAAAAGCTTATC